CGTTTCAATTCCCACAGGGCCGCATCCGCAGCCCCAGCTTGGATGGTCAGCCCCCCTGCCCCATACTTGGGGGTCAGCCCCACAACCTCAGAGGGACCCCCACGCTCAATTGTCGTCGTCGCTGTCGTCGGGGCTGATGGCCGGGCTGGTCAGGCTGTAGGTGGGCGACGTGGGGCTGTAGCCCGGCGATGTGGGGCTGTAGGTGGAGCCCTTGGGACTGGTGGGGCTGTAGGTGGGGGAGGTGGGGCTGTACTTGGGACTGGTGGGGCTGTAGGTCGGCGAGGTGGGGCTGTACTTGGGGCTGGTCGGGGTGTAAACGGGGGAGGTGGGGCTGTAGGTGGGGGAAGTGGGGCTGTACTTGGGGGTGGTGGGGCTGTAGGTGGGGGAGGTGGGGCTGTACTTGGGGCTGGTGGGGCTGTACTTGGGCGAGGTGGGGCTGTACTTGGGGCTGGTTGGGGTGTATTCGGGGGAGCTGGGGCTGTAGGAGGGGCTGGTCGGGGTGTACTTGGGGGAGGACGGGCTGTAGGAGGGGCTGCTGGGGCTGTAGCTGGGGCTGCTGGGGGTGTAGGTGGGCGACTGCGGGGTGTAGCGGGGACTGGAGGGGGAGTAGCTGGGAGATGTGGGGCTGTAGCTGGGGGAGGTGGGGCTGTAGCTGGGGGAGGTGGGGCTGTAGTTGGGGGAGGTGGGGGTGTAATTGGGCGAGGTGGGGCTGTAGCTGGGCGAAGTCGGGCTGTAGCTGGGGCTGGTTGGGGTGTAGTTGGGGGATGTGGGGCTGTAGTTGGGGCTGGTGGGGCTGTAGCTGGGCGAAGTCGGGCTGTAGCTCGGGCTGGTGGGGCTGTAGCTGGGAGAAGTGGGGCTGTAGCTGGGCGAGGTTGGGCTGTAGCTGGGCGAAGTCGGGCTGTAGCTGGGCGAGGTGGGGCTGTAGCTTGGAGAAGTGGGGCTGTAGCTGGGCGAAGTGGGGCTGTAGCTGGGCGAAGTGGGGCTGTAGCTGGGCGAGGTGGGGCTGTAACTCGGAGAAGTGGGGCTGTAGCTTGGAGAAGTGGGGCTGTAGCTGGGCGAGGTGGGGCTGTAGCTTGGAGAAGTGGGGCTGTAGCTCGGCGAGGTGGGGCTGTAGTTGGGGCTGGTGGGGCTGTAGCTGGGTGACGTCGGGCTGTAGCTCGGAGAGGTGGGGCTGTAGCTGGGGCTCTGCGGGGTGTAGCCCCCAGGCGAGCGCGGCTCGTAGGCAGGCGATGTGGGGCTGTAGCTGGGGGACATGGCACCGCCTGCAAAGCCACAAAGCACAGCGGGGTGAGTCGGGGGTCCGGGGGGCGTCCCGGTGCCGGGGGTCCCCGGTTGGGTGGGAGAACCGACCTGGGGAGGGGATGTAGGGGCTGGAGGGCCCCGGGGATCCAGGGGAGCCGGGAGTGGGCGACCAGGCGGGCGAATAACCGGGGCTGAAACCGCTGGCGTCTGAAGCAGCGCTGGGGGAGAAGCCGGCGCCGCCGGGGGTCATGCCGCTGCCTGGGGGGGGGGGGAAAGAGGGGGGAGAGAAAAGGGGGCAGGGGGATCAGAGAGGGCGGGCGGTGCACAAAGGCGCCCCACGTGGGACGGATCCCCCCCCCCTCCAAGCCTGTTCCATAAAGCCCAGCAGCTCCCCACAACCCTGCCCCACAGCTCCCCACAGTCCTCCACGCATCCCCGAGACCTCCAGAATGACCCCCCCCACCCCCCCATACCCTGCCCACATTGCTCCCCATGGACCCCCAGAAGCCTCCCCCCCAC